TTCTTCTTCTTCTTCTTCTTCTTCTTCTTCTTCTTCTTCTTCTTCTTCTTCTTATCATTAACCGTCAGGTTTTTTTTCTTCTTTCCTTTAGTCTCGAGATTGCCTTCAAAGAGGTTATAACGAACAACGCGCACAGTTAGCAGAGCTATGCCAAGAGTTTAGCGTTCTGAAGTAAGTGAAGTAGATATAAAAGAAGGTGAGTAATAATAATAATAATATTGTTTTACTTTACCGTATCTGGCCTCTGTTACCTTTCGATGTCTTGAGGAGAAAAACAAGGGTCTTTCCCTTGATTGTATACAGGCCTGCTTCACGACTATGTTGTTCTTGACAAAAGTTTCTCGGACCCTCTCTATCCATCTTTTCCTGGACATGCCTCTTCCTCTAATCTCGTCTGATCTCCAGTTGTATCCCCTCACAGCAGTACATTCTGGTGGCAGTCATGACAATGTCCATTTTATTCCATTCGTTGTTTGCCTATGTATTACAAGCAGGGAGTTGGCCAACCTGTTCTCTGACCATCTCGTTTCTTACCTTGGCGGCGTCTTGTGATGTTCACAGTATTTTTTTACGCATCTCATTTCATAGGTGTTGATTTTGCTTTGTTTACTCTGATTTATTATCCATGTTTGCCTTGGTTACAGAGAGTTGGTATGAATATTAGTATGCTGTTTAATGATTGGCTTCCATTGTGGTGTCTAATATCTAACAGTTTTGGTGCCAGTTTTTAAGTCATATCTTTGGCCTTTTTTCTGGTTTTATTTTTCTGTCCATCTTTCCGTCTTGATTGAACGCACTTCCCGAGTATTTGAACTCTTCTACTTGCTTAGTTTAGCCGTAGCAGACTGTATTTTTTAGTGGGCCTGGTCTTTTGTTGATTTTAATCACCTCAGTTTTGCTTGTATGATCTTTGTGTTGTGATACGTGCAACTTTTGTTCAGTATGTTTGATAACATAATATTAAAGAGGCAAACAAATCTCTAATTATTGTGCTTTGTCAAAACGCTCTTGGTCGTGTTTCCACCTTCTAGAGAGCAGCTACTGTGCCAAACATCAGAAGCCTCAGACGCCAAACGTGACTTGTGCACCACACAGAGGGAACTAGAGAAAACAAGAAGGGAAGCAGACGATATGCAACAATGCCTGCAGGTCTGCGGTGAATGACTAACAGTTCATCATTCGTATATTTTCTGTATTCATTATTTCATTTTTCTCATTGCGCAGTGTAAGACTACGTCATACGTCACTTTCTGAATTCAGGGAAATGTAGCTTTTCTTAAGAGCATCCGAGCAAATGAATGAATGGAGAACAATGATCGCAGATGTCTGTGGCAGAACTGGCACTGGATGATGATGCCACTAAGCAGTCTATTTGAAAAGAAATGGCTTGGAATTAACACATACGTATCCCCTCCCTCTCCCCTTCCCCCCCCCCTCCTTGTTTGTTTGTTTGTTTGTTTGTTTGTTTGCTTGCGTTAACTGAGGTATGTTAACACACTGATAGTCATGTAATACAGGGGGGGGGGGAGTAAGACAGACAGAAAGACAGAAACAACAAGGTGGAAGAAAAATATAAAACCCACCTGTGCACCCTCTCCTCTGCCAACCTCCGACTCCGCCAACCTTGTGAGGTCAATAAATAGGCTGGGCCTCGGACTTCAGCACGTTATTTCTGATGCGGCCGAAACAAGTGGGTGGAGAGTCTGGAAAACTATAGGAACCTGCCTGTTTGGTGTGCCTTTTCTTGGCTCTAAGTGACCAGTATATTATTATTACCTTACTTACTTTTACTTTTTCATCCTCTGTTGCCGTTAAGCCTCGCGGGGAGATTCAGTTTTCTATGGTAGGCCAGCTCTGCAGCTCATTTAATTGGGATTTTACAATTTCCCTGGGTTTCTTTATTATAATTATTATTACAGTATCATTATTTCTGTTGGGTTTTGTTTTTTTTTGCTCTTAAGAAATTACATGTATACCGTTATTCAACACCAATTAATAACATTGGACTGGTTCACTTGGGCATGCGTTCCTCTTTGACCAGTCCTCCCCACCAGGGCAGTGCTACTGACTGAAGTTGCCTTGAGGCCATTCCCAAAAGGGGGGATATTAATATGTTCTTATGTACAGTAGAATTTTAAATGGGCTGATTTATCAATGCCCTGCTCATACTGTGACGGAACAACGTAGGAAGGACTACTCTTTTTCTTTCCTCATGTTTACTATCGTCATTTTTCCTCAACTTCATTTGTATGTTTGTCACTCTTTTGTGAACTGCTATTTCCTGGGTACCAAGATAGTCGAAGCAGACTTTGTGCCTTTGAGGCAAGAGAGGTGAGCAGAGTAATCCTGATTCCCCGTTTGGACTTCTCTGTTGACATCCACCCCTTGGCACTCGTATTATGATACTGTGCAGTTGCGAGCGCGTAAAGCCGTACTAAAACAAACCAACTTTGACCAGACTCATTTTATATTGGGGCTTAATCATATTTTAGAGCCAAATTTTTGGTGCACTATATAGATATCGAGGTTCATTTAAAGATTTAGACGTTTTCCTTGCGTAGAGTACCTTGGCCTTTTAAAATTTCCTCTTCACCCCGATCATCCCCGGAGCGCCGTTAGCTCAACTGATATCATGCTGGACTACAGACTGGGTGGCAATGGTTTGAATCCCCAACCGGGTGTTCTGAACTTGGATTGTTTTGGGGGAGTAATTTAGTTAATATGTTTCGGTCCTATAGGAAATGGACATTAAAACTAGAGGTTTCGTCTCTTAGGTGACCTGGCAGTTTTGAAAGGAACGTTAAACCTATACAGCCGTGATCATGCCAGCACGACAATTTAAACGATTGGTTTACGCCCTTTTCCGAGCAGACTAAGGGCTCAATCCTGCCTACCCTAGGCTCAAGACGTATAGAAAACATATGGAAAAACAACCCGACACTGGCCGGGCGGGGGGATCGAACCATGGAACTCTGGGTTGACAGGTGGCTACTATATTCGTTGAACAATTACC